GATAACTCGGACTACGCAGTCAGCCCAGTCTGCTCATGTGCGGAATGGCCGACTGGTTGACTGAGAATCAGACTGCATAGTGGCCGCTATTGTATTCTCAATCCACTGGATCCGAGCCAGGCTTGGTGGCAGGCCTAGAGACGGCTCCGGCCACGCCAACCACTTGCACCCGCTCCCACCTCCGATCTTCTTTACTTGATCATGGCACCGGGCGCGAGAAGGGGATTAGAAACAGTGCGATAGATGCATTTCAAGTCTAACACCCCTATAATCTAATTTACATGTTAGTCATCAGCCCTGCGCCACCTTGCTGTGGGGCCCATTGTGAACCTCGTCACCGGACTGTCACTAAACGTTCGATGACCCAAGAACTCTGGGTCAGATTTCAGGTTATCTAGACCTGGAATTGAGTATGGCTAGCTTGTGACGGCTAATAAGCCAGAAAAGGCTCTTCTAGTCTTTTTTGTCCTTTTTTGAATTCCCAACTGTATTTATCACTGGTCGTTATGCAGATACCTGCAAAGTCTCCATTTTGACTAGATCGCGTGGCCCGATCTGTGGGTAATATTTCATTTACTGCCTGTCAGAAGATTGCTCAGGGGCAACTTCACAATGTTCTTGATGCAAATGGTGGCTATTTAGCTACAAATGGGTGAAAAACGAATTTCTAAGTAAAAATATTGGTATGCTAGCTGTTCGATGACTGTATCAGTGCACATTTTACGTCATGCGCAGCTTACCTGTTTGACCCTGCATTGGGGACTCTTCACCGGACCCATATTGCCCCATTCCCCAAGACGAACCCGTTGTACGATTTCTCCCTGCAGGTAGACAATACAGAACAAATTATGTTCAAATATTAGTGGAAGAGGGATACTTAACACTTACGACATGGGTCTTCATTTGCTAAGAAGACTTTAATGTCTGAAAAACTTGAAGATAGAGGGAACTCATTGCTGATACGAAATTTTTGCTTGAAAAGTGCCAACAGTCTCATTTCCCTTATATGGTCAATAAATCTCCGATAAGTTCAGTTGCTCAGGAGTGGTGATTACTTCTCAACTTCAACTTCAACTCGTCGAAATCTTGGACTTCGTCCTTAGAGGAAGATGCGACCACTAGGACAAGAATGTTGTTGATCTGAAGTTTGCTATTCTAACTAGAACTCATTGTCAGAGACACTCGAATAAGAGTCTGTGGCTGCTTGTGATTACGGATTATAGGTCTACGCCTATAGACCTTAAATATACTGATATATACCGCGATCAGA